GTTGTGCTTTCTGAAATCAGCTTCTAACACACCTGAATTTGCTACTTATAATATTAGATACCTTCTCTAACATTTAATACATTTTTTTGGGGTCATAATACTCCTCAAAACCCCAAAACTGATGCTTCAGGAAAACAAAAGCCAACACGAATCAATACTGCCACCTTGTGGATGAATACATGTTTACTGCTGAAGTTTCCTCAAATTCTGGGAAATTAGGGAAAAGGAGACCTGATGTGTCTGTAGGTTGTCTAGGTCTGTTTGAAGCAGGGACACCTGAAGAGCTGGCAGAAGCTGTTAAATTTGTTCATTTGAATAAGTTAAGAACCTGATTTAGCAGAACATGAATGACAGTCTGAAACCAGACTACTCCCCAGAGCTAGGATGTAACAACCTACTCTTTTAATGGTTTTTAGACCCTGATTTTGGGAGCTCCCTGTATTCTGTTTCTTGTTTCTGTTAAATTTATAATCACAGCTTTATTGATATCATTTTTTTGTTTTAGGTATAGTTTAAAATGAGATTTAAAAATGAACTGTCGGAGTGAGACTTTGAAAAGGAATGAGTAGAGAATCATTCCACAATGAAACAGAGAGAAAATATTTTTCTTTCTTTTTACTTTTCAGCACGGCACTAACCTCTACATGTTCCTGTACCGTATAACTAAAACTGTTTTAGCTCTTAAAAAGGTTGAACGGAATTTGTAATTACGAAGTTTCAGACCTCAAATTAATTAACTGGACTTTCGTTAAAGATAAAAAAGGTTATTTTGGGAGTGTCTGATACATTGTTATTTCCACCTCTGTTCATAAAGTGAGCACTTACTGAGAACTGTTAGTTATAGAAATAAGGGGGGGAAAACGTTTAAAACCAAGTTTAGAAGTGACATTTTTTTATCTGCGTAATTGTTTGGAATAATATGTTTAAATGGGTTGTATTTTCTTAAACTAAGGACTGAATTCATAAATGAGTAAACAAAAGTCTATACAAATCGCAGGTTAATTAAAGTAATTAATCAGTAAAGACCAACAAGGACGAAAGCCAGCCAGCCAGGAACCATTATTCTAGGTACTGACTTGGATTATATACCTATCTTAACAGATGCAATTGTGGACCAAGAGGAATATTTCCCTCTTTTCAACTTAATGAAGCTCTTGAGTGCCCCAAAGTAGCTTAGATTAGCGGTCAGGACTCATGAAAAGGTCGTGTGTTTAAATTTCTGTTGGGATTCTTCTGTTGTGTCTTTAAACAAGGTGTGTCAATTAAAATTGCTCTCGTAAATGTCCTGCAGTATAAGCAGTTCTTCAGGTTGTCACTGTAAAAAAGAATCTGAAAAAGAATCTCAACTTGCATACCTGGTAAAATACCATTTACCTGGTAGCTGTGTTAATGCTTTCCAATTAGTTTTAGGAGATTTGAAATCTAGCTGATGTCTTTTGCATTCTCTGAAGTTTAATTAATATGACTGGGACAACCAGAAAACGTGACAATGGTCAATGGGCAATAATTCTTCTCTGTGCTGTTCTATACTGTATGTTGTTTTATGTACTTCTATGAATAATCATGTCCTGAAATCAAACATCATAGGTATGCATTTCACTCAAAAATCAGAAAAGAAAGGGTATAGGAACAGTACCTTTTTGATCAAGCCTGATTTTGGAATGAAAGCTGGAGCAGTTGTGGCATAACATCTGTGCTTCTGTTTACATAGAATATGAATTTTATGTGGTTTAATTTAATTACATTCACGGTTGTGCAAAAACAGATACCATTTTCCCTTAGTAACTCTTAGTAACTTTCTAGAAAAATTGCAAAAAAGAAGATATATGCAAAATAAAATCAATTTGTTTTGAAAGAAGCTTACATGGAAAAACTTGAACAGTAAGATAAACAGGCTTGGTCTGCATGACCACTTTGTTGTGATGTTCAGGAAAACACTGCGTTCAAAAAAGAAAATGAAGAGCTACAAAAGACAATTGCTCTTGCATTTCGCAAATGCCAAGAGACTGAAACTCTATAGTTTCTGGCTGAATACACTGTGGATAAAAACACATCTGGATTTTCAACACTCCATGATAACAGATGAGTCTGCAAAGTCTTGTGCTCCTCCTGAGACAAGACTTGAGAAGTTCCTCAAAATCTATTAAAATAGTAAAGAAGGTTTTATTACATTGCCAACACTTGGGTTATTTTGTGTGGTAAGTAATAAGTACTATTTATTAAAGACTCACTGTGGGGAAAATGGCTGTTGTGATCTGTTTTCCATCCTGTAATGTAGAAATGCTTGCCATGTGGGCTCTGTTACTGCTGCCAATAATCTAAAGCACAGGAAAGAACAGGGTAGCCCCTCAGCAGCTCAAACAATGTGCAAGAACTCAAGAGGACAGAAAACCATACTGGGTATGAAAATAAAATAATTTCTGAAGAAGATGTTGGAGGAGGAATTAGGTGTCTTTGTTTTCAGCAGCTCAATAATGAATTTTAAATATTTGTTTCATTCTTACACATTCTATGCGCTGCAGTTACTGTATGTGCGAGCTGGGAAGTTCTTCTTCTTTTCAATATTATTATTTGCTTAGCAGATGTCCTTATCCAGGGAAACTTAAAATGAATGCAAACTTGAGTTAGGTGCAAGTACAAAGGAAACAAATTAATACATTAATTCCAATACAGGGGCACAGGGGTGCCGGAGCCTGTCCTGGCAAGCAATGGGCACAAGGCAGGATTCACCCTGGATAGGATGCCAGTCCATCGCGAGGCACACATAGACACAAACATTTACACACTCACATTGAGGCCAGTTTTCCCAGAAGCCTATAACCTCCCTGTATGCCTTTGAACTGTGGGAGGGAACTGGAATATCCAGAGGAAACCCATGCAAACACAAGGAGAACACACAACTCAATGCAGAGTGCACCCCAGAAACTGAACCCAAGGCCCAAGTGGTGTAAGGCAGCAAAGCTAACCAATTTAATGAATAATAATTAACAATAAACAAATTTACAATAATGCTACAGTAGATTTAAAAGTGCCTAATGAAGGAGGTAGTTGAATTCTGGGAGCTCCCAGGTGCTTTCCACACAGATATGTCTTTGGCACTCTGAAAGGTGGTTGGTGACTGGGAAGTTTTGATTATATGGTGGAGTTCACTCCATCACTGAGGGCCAAGGTTCAAAGAATGAAGAGGGGTTACAGAAAGTCCCGTGGAAGAGGACGATAGGAGAGCTAGATGACCAATTCATTAAATAAAAAATAATACATTGAAAATTGAAAACAATAAATGAAACAGGTTATTAAAGGACACTGGCATGCACATGCAGTAGGTCTGTACACCTTAGTAAGATGAGATCACTTTATTGGCCAAAAGATGGAATAATTACATTAATTAAAAACCTAGTTCTGTCAGCTTCTGTATATTATTTACTAATATGTAGGAAACGTATAGAATTCTCTAGTTGGAATTAGGAGGAATACCAGAAGTAAATTAAAAAAAAGCTTTTAAAGAATATTTTAGATGTTGAGCATTTGAAATGGCTTGATTTATGTAATTATTTTCTCTGTAGTTACCAGTGCCTAGCTGTTATATAAGATAAGATCACTTTATTGGCCATATGCAATTTCTTGTGTTAGGAATTTGTCTTTTCACATAACCCAGCTTGCTCTCCATGAGACACACAGACAGGGAGAGGAGCCTGGGGTCAGAGCACAGGGTCAGCCATTTATACGGCGCCCCTGGAGCAGTTGGGGTTAAGGGCCTTGCTCAGGGGCCCAACAGAGTAGGATTCTTCTGCCGGCCGCGGGATACAAACCTGTAACCTTCCAGCCACAGGTGCAGATCCTTAGCCACAGAGCCACTGCGCCCCGCTCCAAGTATCATGAATAGTAAATTTTCATACCAATACATGTTAAGATTCTAAACTGGTTAATAATAACTCCTTACACTCATATATTCTGGACAGTTCACTCAAAGCTCTTTACAGGTGATGGGGACTCACCAATAACCCCGCGATGCGACAGCAGTCAGAACTCAAACTGTTCTTTCCATAGTCTAATATCCAATTTCATCTTATAAAGATGATTGTTTGATGGCAAAAAATTATTTTATTTCTCAGAGGTGCAAAGCCATGCAAATGTTTACACAAGCAGCAGAGAATTTATTGCACTCCTTCATGAGAAATTACAGCCCTGTCCTCATTCCATTTTTCTAACAGAATTGGCTTTAGATGAGAAAGTGATGACGGAAACGGTGTCTGGGATTGAACTGCGTTTTCCCCTAACTTTCAATAAAGTCTGGGGATTGAACAGACCAGTAAAAAGTTTATGACACCTGTCTATCCTCAATGCAAATTGAATAGGAGCACTATATTTTGGAATTTTGAGCGCAAATATAGAATATTGCAATTAAAAGGGTAACATGTTAGTTTAGTTATCTGTTAAAGGCTGTCCATGAAGATGTCTCATTGTCTTGTCTGCTGTGTCTGTCTCTATGAACGAACTGTTAACATTAGTAATGTTAACAAAACACATATTAGGTAGCTTGGGGGACAATTCTGGTTATGATAAGGGTTAAGGTTTGTTATTAACAACTTTTTACTCTACAGTAGATATTATTTAATATTATCTTTATGTGGAAATATACTTAATTTATAAAGCTATAGAAAAGCTATTTACAATCTAATGAGTTACTTTTTAATGGTTACTGACACGTGCCGTGTGTATTTACACAGCATATGAAACACCCGAAGCAGACTTCTGTCTGAACTCTCCAAGGGTATATAGTATGGTTCGGATGTACACACTTCTCTTCCCCGTTTTTTAACGCCTACGTAAATCATGGGAAGCTGATCTAACCTATCCTGTCCTCATTCGTAAACACAATACAGTTGTTTAGTTTAATATAGGTTGCAAATAAGCGGGTGAACTGAAATGTACTTTTTAAAAATACCATTTTATTTGCTTTTATCAAACACAGCTCACACTATGAACTATGCACAACATGAAACGACAAGGAATCCCCAAATCAAAACTGTAGTCATTAATTGCTATTTGAACCAAACGCAATAATAAATCGCGATTTGAAAAAAAAAATACTGCGGAGCGCCCCGTGTGCGTGCGCGTCCACAGGTGGTACGCGGCTAGCCAGCTTCGCCTGCGTCTGCGGTGACGTAGAGAAGTTGTGGCCGGGCGCGTGCTCGTGTTACCCTGCAAACCGGCTAGATGTTTTGAAACGAGAGAGATCGAGCTCAGCTGACAAGCTGCTAGAGAGACAGGAACCTGAGGGGGATTTAAAAACAGGGCAGCCGGGCCCGCTGGGTTCTATGTCCGGCTACAGAAGGGAAGTTGTTCCTAGCCGGCGCCGCTGCTGGTGGTGCTTGTCGTGGGAGGGAGAGGGAGAAGGGAGAAGGGAGAGCCAGGGCTGCTAGGATCCCAAGGACTTTATCAGAATAATGAACCGTAGGTATCAGAGATGCAGCCATATGCATGTTAGAAAATATTTGGACTAAATCCCGAAACGTACAGGATTGAATTAATATAAAACAGGCATGAGCAAATACTCAGACAAGGCGTCTCTGCTTAGTCCACCTGAAAGCCCGGAGAAAAGCGGTACCTCGGTCGGAGACAGTGAATGGGATTTGGGAAGCGACGTGTTCGTGCGCTGCTATGAAGAGCCGATGGGCGGGGAGCGGATCCATGGAGGGATGCGATCGGTCCAGGCAGGCTTGGACAGACTGCCGCTTGTACGGGCTCGGCACCGGCCCTCCCAAGACGGTATGATGTTGGGCCTAGTGGAAGACCCGTATCCTGGTTTCCACAGTGGTTCCGACTCGGGCGCTGCCTATCTGGAAACAGGGGAGCCGGACTACAGCGAGAGCGACGGGAATGTCGCCCCGGTGATGGAAACGAGGAAGCGGAACCGCTCCAGCAGTTCGAGACACCGGTACGAGGTCGTCACCGAGCTGGGGCCCGAGGAGGTCCGCTGGTTTTACAAGGAGGACAAGAAAACCTGGAAACACTTTGTCGGCTACGACTCTCTGAAAATCGAAGTGATGTACCGCAAGTTCCTCGAGCTGAACCCCAGCAAGGCCAGGCGCCTGGGGGTCGCCGGTTCGGAGGAGGGCGAAGAGGCAGCAGCTGGGTCAGAGGTATCCGTGGGTGAGACACGGGATGTTGAAGGCGAGGGACAGGTGTCCGTAGAGCAAGCCAGCAGCGGAAGTGCAGACCGAGGGACCGACGACGGAGCAGACACCAGGGAGAGAGACCTCGATTCGATTATCATCAATGTCGAGCCCGTCTGCGTTAGAGGTGGACTGTACGAGGTGGACGTTAAAGAGAAGGAGTGCTATCCGGTGTACTGGAACCGTAAGTATTTTTGACCTAAGGGGTAAACTAGTGCTTTGCGTGTTTTACGTTGCGTCCTGTTTTTTTTTTTAAAAAACGTGATCACACCACTTCTGCTTTCTTGCGCATTGGAACTTTATTTTGGGGATAATAGAGACACGCGGCTTTAGAAATCCAGAACATTATAGGCTCTTTAACTTCCAAGACAACCCTTCTTTGTGACATTTAAGTAATAAATCAGGGGTTCATCTCAAACCGCAGGTTCATTTACATGAATGCATAGACATGCAGTCTCGTGTTCTGGTCATGCTTTTGACAGGTATTGGGGAAGTCAAATGACCTATCTCAGTGCAGTGTAAGTGATGGAAAGAGCATATAAAGGGACGTTTCATGCAAGCACTTCCATGTTATCAGTGTTGAAATTTGGAGATGCACTTTTTTTCAGAAAATCAGGACTCACACCCGCAGTGCAAAACAGCCTATGACATGGCAAACAGGTTTTACGTGACGTCAAGTTTCTTTTATGTGTAAAATTCCACGTCATTAAAAGTTTAACAGTAACATTATTTGAAGCCGAGGCTTACTTTCTTCAAAAATCATCCACTTAAAAACTTAAAATAGCAAGTACCTATAAATACATCATGGTTTCAAGGTTGTATTTACTTGTCTTGCTCCTGCACTGCCAGATGTTTCTGTAAACTGCCTGTAATCAGGCCTTAACCTCTAATCACTTCCTGGGCAACTGATAGTTGCACCCAAATCCTAAACCGCATCGCTGAATGAAATCATACAGACCAAAGAAGAGCAAAATTGTAAAGTTGCCTTACTGCTTTACTGCTGCTATTTATTCTGCAAGTTGAATGCAAAGTAGTCTCACAATCAGGTTATGGCCTCTGGGTCTGAGCTTGTTTTAACATTTGCCAAAATTTGCTTATATCCCTTCTCCTGTCAGTGTATTTTATTAACACAGACTGAGTCTCCTCTAACAAGGGATTGTGGCCGAAAGACAAATTTAACATTGCAGGGTTTGCCGTCTGTAGTTTATAACCTCGGGGCAACTGCTTTAAATATGTTGTCTAAATATTCAGAATGTTTAATTTTTCTTACCCATGTAATGATCACTGCTAAATACATCACATTCCTTTATTTTCTTTGGTTATTAGATTTTAAGTTGGTGGGGACCGGGTAGTGGTACTTCCATTTTAATAACATTTTAATAACATCGCCCTAATTACCGTCATTATCATCTATCAAAATATTTCATTTACACCTTGAAGTTGGGCTTGTGATTCTGAGTTTGTGGTTATCCTATTGAACTCTGCATTTTATATTCAAATTCTTGAAGCTTGATATTGGTTTCAACAGTAACTATATTAATCAGCAGCAAAATGCATCTGACCTTTGTATTTTTCGTATTATATGTCGCCTTTGTTGACTAATGATTGTGCATTAATAATATATCATTATAAATACAAATCCTTAAATACTTAAGACCACGTAACTGCATCACTTGTTATGATCTTAACACTGGGAAATCAACCTTCGTTAAAAATAGCTGGCTCATTAGGCTCAGGGAAGCGTTTGTTAGCATTTTTCCCTCAATTTAGTAGAGGTACAGGTGGCTTCCTTTGAACAATGCAAGATTTGGCATTCACTCTATACCGGATTATGATCCTGAAACACAAGACAAGGAAAGGGAGATGAAGACTATCTGCTCTTTTCCAAGTCAGTGATTAATTTTTATAGCTCAAGAATCACTTTGAAATTCCCTTTTTATTTATGTATGATGCACACTGTTAATCCAAAAGAAAAAGAAAACGTAATGTAGCACTTTTTGTTCCTGTTTTTGATTTTGCTTCCACATTTTTGTTTCCACATTCACAGTTTGTAATCTGTTGTACTTTTAGGATGCTATGAAATGGTGTCTGCTACGGAATTGGCTAGTTGTTCTCTTAAGGTCTGTTATGCCCTGCCCTGTTCAGAGTGAATTAGCTTTTATGGGAGAATACTGTGTCAATGAGGGTGAATCCCATAATCTCCTTCCCCCCAATCTTCTCTTTTGCTGCACCCTGTTAATAATGTATAAGATTGCGTGATGCAAAGTGTGAATTAATTTACCTGAGTGCAGTACTGGCAGGGGATTCAGGAAATCCTTGTCCATTAATCTTGAAAGGGCTGTTTCTTCCTGAATGCCTTGGCCGGTATTGAGTTTTCAACTCTATTGTACTACTGAGCATCTGCTCCCCTGGTGTATTGTTTCCATTATCACAGTGTATGGTGCTAAGTAGGTTTGACTTGTGTCTTTAGATCTACTTTTTTTCTTTTGTTGATTGTTGATTTTGTATTCTGTAGGGAAAAGAATTGCAGAAACAAAGCACTTTACAGGTAATGGGGACTCCCCTCCACCAATGTGCAGCTATCAGTGGGGAGGAGAGCAGAGTAATGAAGCCAATTCATAGATGGGGATTATTAGGAGGCCATGATTGGTAAGGGCCAATGGGAAATTTGGCCAGGACGCCGGGGTTGTACCCCTACTCTTTTCGAGAAACGCCCTGGGATTTTTAATGACCACAGAGAGTCAGGACGGTTTTACGTCTCATCAGAAGGATGGCGCCTGTTTACAGTATAGTGTCCCCGTCACTATACTGGGGCATTAGGACCCACATGGACTGCAGAGTGAGCACCCCCTGCTGGCCCCACTAACACCTCTTCCAGCAGCAACCTTAGTTTTTCCCAGGAGGTCTCCCATCCAGGTACTGACCAGGCTCACACCTGCTGAGCTTCAGTGGATTGCCACTTGTGTGTTGCAGGGTGATATGGCTGCTGGCTATATATATATATAGAATGATTTTCTTTCCTTTTATGAACTGAACTCTTTAGTGTGTGACAACATTGTACCATCTACATGTGCCATAACCTCGTCAGTGTTTTGATTTGTGCGTTTTATCTTTTGTGTAGCATTGGTTAATGAGTAGAACATACTGTATACTGTATTTTGTTCTCTTCTCATTAATAGTCTGTCATGTAAGGCATGACTATACATCCAGATTGAGAAGGGATTTCTCCTGCGAAGTCTTAAAATAACTCATCATGCAAGTGCTTGGAATAAAAAATGATACCTGAAGGAAGAATGATCTGTGATCTGATTTGTGATCTGAGTAGCTCCTTATCTGTGCATTATATCTCATTACAGATCAGGGTAGTGCTTGATGTAAGTTAAACCAAGCTGCACCAAAAGAGTTTAAATGATTTACTTGCATAAAAAAATCACATTTGCATTAATAGGTTAAATATGAGCATCTGAAAACAAATTTATATTGGTTCATGTTGATGTAGGGGTCTGCAAACATTTAATTTGTAAGCATTTTTCAATAAAATACATTTTTAATGGCTAAAATGAGATTAATAGGTAGAAGATCTACCAGATTAAAGAAGACCGCCTTTTCTGAACTTGCAACAAAATGTCATTTATAAAGTTTTAGAATCTAATGATATATTTTGATTTTAATGCATAACATAACAAGTACTTTGGGTTTGTCATTTGCAGGAAAATATTTCTTTCTTCTTCAGTGTCTTTTGATCCTACAGAAAGGTGGCTGAGCAGGTCTCCTCTTGTATTATAATACTGCTCTGTCTTTTCTTACCATTGTAGAGCAGGACAGGATCCCAGTGATGAGGGGACAGTGGTTCATTGATGGCACATGGCTTCCACTAGAGGAAGAGGAGAGTGACCTCATTGAGCTGGAACACTTGAGCTGCTTCCGTGGACACCAGATGCAAAACAGTTTCGACACTGATGTTGTGGCTAAGACAGTCGACAGCAAGGACGGTGAGTGCACAAAGCTTGTACCTCATGGAGGAGGTGAATTGAAAACTGTCCATGGTCTATGAAGAATTTCCAAGACAGTCATTCAGCATGTACCAAGGGGGTGGAAAAAATATGTTGAATGGATTTTTAGTGTGGTTTAAGTGAAAAGGCACTTCTATATATACTTATGTTGCATCCTTTCAGTGAACGATTTAAGTGCGCAATGCTTTTTTTCCCATGACTTCAGTGAAACCTGTCACTGAAGATTCAGCTAAATTGTCCAATAGTCCAAATCAGCAGTTTTATCAGATATTCTGAGAACTGTCAAAGAGAAGGACAGCCAGCAGTAGCCTACAGTCTTAAGCAGCATTTGAACAGCATTATATAGCTAGTTCATATTCAGTAAATTATGAGTGTAATCATTGTGAAAGTATTTTTTACTGAACATAGTCTAAACTACACATTTTCTAAATCCAATTGAAATATATTAGTGAGGTAAACATTTCGCTGAAAATTGCAGACAAAGAACTGCTCAACTATTTTAAAATCAATATTTGTTTCTTCTATTGTATTAGACTAAAATAAATCCTAATAGAAAACTGCCATTGAGTGGCCTGCGAATGCTAGGCATTGATCTTGCGCCAGTAACTGGTTGAATATATAAGTATATTCCCCATTCTATATACACAGGGGAGATGAGGGAGATGAAGGAGAAGGTATTTGTAGAAAACATCAAAATTAGATAGTTAAACTTTTTAATGGTGTGTATCATGTACTATACATAGTGTTAATGTTAATCACCTTGTAATTGTTTGAGATATAAGAGTATTTCTAGATCTTGAATGTCTTGTATTTAATCATTATGTACGTGTTGCTGTAGCAAACCTTGTTCCCTTTGCAATTGGATTTCCCTAATGAAATTCAAGATGCACTGAGTCTTTTTTGAGTGGAAATTGTCTTTTACCAGTACAATAATAGGAACAAGATTCGAAGCCTCCCTGTGTGGCTCAGAATTCTTGAGATGGAAATAATTCAGTTCTGATAAAGTCAAATGTAAGTGTAATCAAGAGCGTGGTGAAATGGTAATGCTGTGAATATGATTCACATGAGCAATACTACTTTGAAGTCAGTCATTAGAAAAGTGCTAGCAAAACAGGAGATGCTGCTTTGCTGTGAAAATGTAATGCTATTTTACATATCGTTAAAGTGATTGAAAGAGGGAAGCCATAGATGGGTAAAAAAAAGGTTTGAAGCTGTAATAAGATATAAAGCATTTTTGAATGTAATAAGATTGGATAAACTAAAGCAGAATTTCAAACCAACAGTTACCCTCAGCAGCGTTCGAAATGTTTAAAGATGTTAGTACTTTTATAGAATTGTTGGTGTATATCACAAACATTAGATCAGTGTAATAACTACTACAGTGTTCCCCGTCTTCTCTTCTTTTAAGGAAGGATGAATCACTATAAAAATCTGACAGTGAGTGATGAAAAGGCTATATCAAAATGGTGATGGTGTCCTGTGTGAGCTATGGCACTTCATTCAGATACTATTTTAATGGCTGGGTCAAAATCGTTCTTAAGTTACAAGTGAAACAAGTTTAACTATCTCATTTTAAATGCCAGAAACATCAGTTCCCTCTTTATGATTTGGTCTGTTAGATTGGTTTAATTTCAGATTGTGTGTCTAAGGTAACTGTGGAACAATAGGAACAAATAGCAGTGAACATTACTTTTTTTGAAACATTGGCTTAGTGCACAGACATGGCCCTGGTGAGAAAGAATATGTATCAATATTTGAATGGAAATAAGTGCTGTAATTTTTATGATTAGCTGTAGTTTTTTCTGGGTCATCCTAATGACCTTGCACCTGCAAAACATTGCAGTGCTGTAATATGCTTATTCTGTGAAGCAGTGAAAACAACATACTTAGGCCCTGGTGCCTATTGAAAGAAAAACATGATCTCCAGTTATCAATGAAAATCTTGATCTCCCCAAAATTATTTCCATTCTTCTTTACAGCAGGAAATGGAACAAATTTGAGACATAGAATTATCAATGATAGTTTTGAATACATCCTGTTAAAAAGGCTGTGGGGAAAGATTGTAATTAACTGAGAAGTCACCTCAGACGTACTGCTTATTTGAGAGTAGTCTTTGATCCTGGCACATGGTTTGTAAACTTCACAGTTCAGGATGCTTTCCAGTTTGGTTACAGAACATATTAATAACAGAATTATCCCAAGCGAAGCAAATTGTAGAATATTTAACACATTAAAGGAATGGCACTGTGGTTTACCTGTTGGTCCTTTTTAATACCGTAGAATGTATTTTAAATCATTTATTTTTTCCTTTCTTTTGAGTTTTTGAAACTTGGTGTATGATATGTATTGATGTGTTAAATGTTGAGCAGCATGTGTAACTACCTGGGGACTTTTAATCCAAAAGCATCAGCGTATCTTAAACGTACAAACTTACTTCATGATGTGCCGCAAATCAGTATAGTACAGTGGCAAACAAAATTAGGATAAAGAAAATATATTATTAAGATATCCCAGGATTTGATCAACCTGATTACATTAGATAACTGTGAGTTTACCATAAAAAAAATCTAAACCTTTCAGCAGATATAATTCTACCCCATTTGTGATTGGAATTTTACAGTGAATCTGTTATGAATTTTCGTTTTAGAGAGCAACAGTAAATCAGTTAAGATTTATTTCATATTAGATAAAATGCAATTGATATATATATATACATTTATATAATAGCACACATTTCATTTCCCATATCTTTACATTAATATAATCTCTGTAATAATAATCGTTTTCACTTTCCATTTACATTGTGTTACTCTGCTGTGAAAGAAGGATGTTAATGTAGTGCTGTTTTACATTTCTGCCCATAAGTTAGATCTGGGCTCTTCTGGAAAGGAGTTGCCTAATCAATAGATTTTCAATCTTGCCCAGAGATGCCAAGTAATGTGTGAAATACCTCGTTGTGAAGGACATATTTAATTTGTCTCAGTATGTTGTGGTGATATATCCAATGTATTAAATATTTATTTTAAGATAAAAAATGCAATATATGTATACAAAAAGGTGACCAATATTTTAAAACTTGACTCACACACTTTGTCGTTTAACGTGGCAGTAAAATATATTTAATCTTGAACAAAGAAAATTAATAACTGTGCAGAGAGGAATGTAACCTCTGGGATTACATGGAATATCTGAGGTGATTAAAGAGGACTGGCTCCATGTCATCTCCATGATTAAGTGTTCATGTGGGATGCTAATACCGCTATTGTTTGTTATAATCTTATAAATAAGATTAAATGGCAGCATTATAAGGTTTTGTTAAATGGGAAGCCTTCCATCAAGGGATCACATTTATTTAACAGGACAATTGAGGATTTTACAAGACATTTTTAAAACACTTTTGTATTCAATTATTATAATCTATTACGAGTGTTTTATAGAATATTTTTACCTGTTTAAATTTTCTCCTTTTTTTGGTATTATTTGCCAATAGTTCACTTTGTCTTTGATACACGCACGCTCCAAAACTTTTACCCTCTGAGGTTTTGCCATCAAGGTTGTAGCAGCAAGAGCAATGACCAGGAATGGCTAAGGTTCAAATAATCGCAAACTAGCATATCTGAACTTCCAGGAATTGGAGGGAAAAGGTTACAATAACTTTGTGCAGTTCAGCACAAGTCATTTAGACTTCTCGTGCATTTCTAGCACACTATTTTACATATACAATTTCTGTAAAAAAATATATGAGCATTTTGATCAATTCAATTTGGTAAGGGTACCAAACTCTGCAATGGAATCTTGAATGAAACTGTATTTAAACCACTATTGGTTTGCTTATAATCATTCCAGAAAATCCTACTACCTGCAACCTTGTGAAAAGCTCACATCAAACCTGGACATCATACCATTGCAGTCCTTTTACAATTCAATCTGTCTAAGGAAAACATCTGCTGTCTGAATTTTTACTTGAATTTTTTGCCAGCAAATTAAAAAAGCAGTTTTCCTAATGATTGCTTTTTAAGAACTGTTTAATCAGTAACAAGTCTGACCTTCCTGCTTTTTCTGTTTACTATTTGAAGAAATTCCTTGGCTACTTAAGGCATGCTTTTTATAATGGTACAAATGTCATACAAATGACTGTACAAGAGCCTTTTATTGTCAAAATATTAATATATAATTTTAATAAAAGTAGGATAACAGAACATCTTTATTTTTATTAGAAAATACAACTAGATGAGGAAATTCAGAAATTTGCAAAGCATCATGGAACAGTCCTTTTTAAATGATTTTTTTGCCTCGTCTTTTTATGTACAAAGAGTGCAAAATGGCTTTTCACTTAAATGTCCTCTCTGAATTTATGATTAGTCAATTCTCTTGCTGTTGTTCCCTTTATGGCCGTGATGTAATCTCATTTTCATTTGGGCAAATAGTTTTGTGTACAAGCATTGAGAAATATGCATAGAATGAGAGAGATCAGAAATCCTTCTGAATCACCATGAGTGTCACTGGTAAATTTAAAATGAGACTGATTTCACTTGGCAGCTAATTGATTGCCATAAAGTTGCCAAAGGGATTCAAAATCCTGATTGTCTAAGAGCACTAACAGTAGATTTACCTTAAGTCTGGCTGTGTTGTTGACATGTGCTCTGTTTTTTGTGTGATGTGTAAAATTAAGATTTTAAAGTACACATTCAGCATTGTTACAAAGAAAGACTTTTGTAATTAGTTGTTCAGAGGACTGTGATGGAGAGCACATTTTGCTGACTAGCCTTGCCCACCACTGCCATGACACTCACTGTTTCTTAATTTGTTAGTTCTCTCCCATCTGCCCCCTTTCTACCTCCCCTTTCTGTTCAAATGGAGAGGATATCAGCCGAATGCTAAAACTGCATGTCACAAGCGAAAACGTTGCCAAGGTACAGTAACAATATACTTTATTAACATGCCTCATTCTTCTTCTCCCTAAATGGCTGTTTTAACTACTGCTATCCTAGATTGAGCCTGATTAGTTTTGCACTCCTATTCTTCTGCCTAGTCACTGCTGCTTTTTTCTACTTCAGTATCCTATTGATCATAAAATCTATCATTCCTGGTCTTATTCATGTAAAGCAATAGATGCATCTTGTCATTGCTCAGAACCATTAGGCAGCATTGAGAGATCCAATACAAAATGTCAGGAACATTTTAGAAATTCAAATATTTGTCTACATCAGGCTTCAATGTAGTTAGTGAACATGGAGAGTGTTTGTGTTGCGTTGAAAACTCTGAGAACAACCGGTACTTTTTTATCCGAAGGGTTGGGAGTATGCACAAGCTATCCAGCCATGTTGTTGAAGCTGAGATCCTGGATTTCTTCAATCTATTAACTACTAATTGGGCTAAATGGCCTGCTCTCATTTATACACATTGCTTAACACATTGCTTGTGTTTAGAAAGATAGGGTTCTGTGGCCCATGTTTCGATTACGTTTCCCCATGTCTTTTTGTTATTAAATATGAGTACAAGTGGCACTATGCTGTACTTACTCTGAATTTGTTAAATATAATGCTGGGTGAGAGCCGTGGAGGACAAAGTGCAGCACATTTCTGTTAGGAATATTTAGAATAAATCGGTTTTGTTGGGCGCTACACAAAAATGACTCCTATTTTAAAGGATTTAGAAACATTTAATGGAAGGGGCTAACTGCTGATACAGAAGTAAAGGGGGGAGACTCCCAATCAAGATCTAAAACATTTAACTGTGAATCATTTAAGTATACGAGTGTAGCTAGTTAATATAAGGAAAATTTGCAGTGATCAAGATGGTCATTTCTTCGTCTAAGACCAAAGATGCTTCCTGAGTTAATCCGATTTCCCAAAATCCTTAGGAAATCTTTTTGTTCTGCCGTTTTACTTGCTGAATCTCTGTTTATGCTTAGATCTGCTCCCTCCATATTGACTGTTTTCCCTTTTCTGCATTTTTTGTATCTTAAGTATATCTTTTATCTGTTTTGGTAGAAGGAATTTGCTGAAGGTCTTACTTCCATTGCTTCAATCTTGTTCTTACTACAGATGCTAGAATTTAAGCTGTTCTTACTTTCAGTTTTTATGCCACTCATTTGTGGTAAATCACCTAATATTGTTTTCAAGCACAGATAATTTGTAGCTTCTTTTGTCAAATTGTGTTATGCCTTGGGTGGATGAATACTACACAGTACATTTAAAGATCCTTCATGCAATAGACTGCTGTGTGACTTATGCTTTCTTTAATTTCTCTATTTAGAATTAAGTGAAAGTTTTGAATGACTGAACATCATTGCATGTTTTTCTGAAACTGAATTGTATGTTTTGCAGTGGAAAAGTAAGTGCTGTAATCACTGAAATTACAGAGAATTGAGAACCTGTCAACTAGACAACTTATGCATGTTTGAGGTTCTATTTGAAAACAGCTGCCTGGAGTAAATGACTCCCTTTCTTTTTCTGTCATTGCTGTGTGGGGGTATGGTATTGGATTGCCAAGAAGAGAGAGTGTTTTAACAAGCTTGTACATTTTCTCCAGGGACTTTCATTGTATGCAGCGTCAGCATTACAAGTGACAAGTGTAGACGTACAACGTGGACTTAGTCTCACAGAATAATTTAAATGATTTTAAAATATATGCAACTAAAAATTCAAAATCTGCAAAATGTTCCTTTGTTTACTTTTAAGACAGAGTGATGTATAGATTAGTATTCGTGTTTTGCATGGTCTCCTTGCCATGTTTTCCAATCAAATGATTTGGATTCATTGATGAAACGCTACAGTTGTGAATTAGTAGTGGTGGGGATTTCCTCTGTCAAAGCTGAAGCATCGCATTGTTTGGTTTAACTAGTAATTGCTGCTAAGAAAATGCAAATGAACGTCACGAAAGGACGCAAAAACATGAGGAATGAAAAGACCTCACTGTGAACCCATTTTTTCTTGATCTCTGTGATGAGACAGGCTAGTCTTTTGCACATAGAATCGAGTAGATTTTGCAATACAGGTAATAGACATAGCAGGAAGAAAGACATAAACTGAAAGCACAAGTGTTCAACTTACCAGGTTAAAACTTGAAAAACAGTGGCTAAGGATTTTTTTTTCATGTAGTAACCTACTGTAACTCTACATACTGTACAAGATGATTTTCATATACTAAGGGGGAGCATTCAACTTATTTAACTAAAAGAGTAGTAATGTAGTTTTTCTCTTACAAATCATTCATATCACCTACTTTTGCTGTGCCTTCTACCTCCAATATTAAAAGTCTTTCTTGTTTTGTATCCTATCTATGAGATGTTAATTAGGATCTTAAAATGCTCTAGAGAATTTAAGCAAAGCTTGTTTCCCTGATATACTTAAGATACCACTCATCTCTGTTTTAATGTGGGAGAATATTTTCAGAACCTGTTTATATTAGAATAGTTAGCAGGTTAAATTACAGTTTAAGAAAAACAGAATAATACACACTTGTAGAACATTAAATGAATTGAAATATAAGGCAAATTTAGATGATGTCCAGTTCTCTCTTAAATCTTTAAGTAGCATAAAATTCTAATTTGCTTAAATAATACAGTATCTATCTAATCAAACTGGAATTTGAGATTCAGATTGATGAAAAGCAAACTATAACCGGATTAATCATCAACCTTCAACCTACAGTAAATGAAAACAAAATGTGAATTTACAATGACATTTCTGTTTCTGTTTGTGAATGTGAATTCAAAGTGTTTTATTGCTGACACGTCTCTCCTTGTATGTCTACTTTTCTGTGTCTCTCTGTATGTGTCTCTGTCCTCCCTCTGTCTGCAGCTATTCACAGCCTAAAACTGAGCCGCAGTCATGTTGACTGGCACAGTGTGGATGAGGTGTACCTTTACAGCGATGCCACCACCTCCAAAATAGCCCGCACAGTCACACAAAAGCTAGGCTTCTCCAAAGGTTAGTGTTGCATGCTAATACCATGTGTAAGTTTTATTATACCAAAAAATGATATTTTGAGTGTGATTTTAGGTTTCAATATCATGTGGATAGATCAAAGATGGCTAATTTTAAGTACCCTGATAAGCAAACCCTTGTGATAGAAAATTTCAAAGGACTATCTGAAATGTCCTTGCACTGCTGGCATGTAGTCATTAGCATACTTAAAAGAGACCTAAACCTAAGATATTGATTTGCTTGTTTTTCAGAAATTTCAGATACCCAAGTATGAAACTGTTAGTATTCTGTTATGCAGAAAGCAGTATTTTAACTGAAGTACAGCAGGTCTTTAATTTTCATTCATTTTAAATGCATACACCAGAAAATCCACTTGAGATGATTTATGCAGTTAATGTCCAGTTTGTGTACTTATTCAAACTGACTGATGGAATAAAAATTGATAAATGCTTAGATTTATGGGAATAAAATAATATCCTTTTAAACATTTCTATGCTGGCATTACAGAAACTTCCAAAGTATCTAACATTTCTGAAATGCTTTATTCTGATGGGACATTTCAGTTTAAGGTCTTAAATCCTGTTATATGTTGCGGATTAACCATATATATTAATTGATTGAATCTGGATCCAGTTGGAACCTTCACTACTTGTGTTTAACTATCGACACACAGGCTTTAAAGAACAAACACTTGGTTGTGACTCGCATACAGTAAGCTAATCGCACAAAGGCTGGAAAAGGTTGCTTACCAGAATAACTGACGTGTATGCATACAATAGAGGGTAGAAAACGACAAAAGTGAGTTCTTGATTGGGTTCTGGAGAAATGATAATCAATAGTAAAAACAACTGTTAGAATGAAGAGCTTTTTATAAAGTGAAGGACCTTATGTGATTAAAAAAATCTGTGCATAAGCAGCTGCTTTAGAATTTAGTTCTCTTGCTATGCAGGTCGAACAAAGCTGTCTCTGTGTACATTCCTCACTCAAGTCTCTGATTTCTGGTTTGGAATCTAACACTATACATAATAGTAAACAAACAAAAAATGACTTGTGATTGTTGTATAACTGAATTGTTGCTTATATGAAATACAAAACAGCAATGGCAAAAAATGGCTTTAGATTTTAGAAGCAAGGAAAGCAATTTGTTGGTGACGGAGTAAAGAGTATTATTTAGGGAATTTTAGATATCGTCTTTGGACAGAAAATGGTGGATATACCCTTTGTTACAGGCATTGTTAACTTCTAAAAACAGAATTTTGGGGAAAAGGACTGTTCAGCTATAATGCCTACGTTCCTCCTCATTTCAGGACTGCTAAGGCTAAAAGCAAACAACAGAAGAAAAAAAATAGAATTAATCCATTATAGCTGTGTCACCCTGACTCTCTGTCACATCAGAGGCTGATCAGCATTGGTTCAGAGACCATGGGCTGAGAATCATGGATTTGAAAGACAAAACGCTTTCCGTGGTCAGGCCAATTGAGGTCAAGCCACTGCGAATCTCCCCAAAGAAGTAAATAAATACCAACTGATAAATTCCACTCATACTAAAACTAACTTGTTCAATGGTATCCCTTACAGATATATGCTAGCTAGCAGTGTGCTCACAAGGATGATCTAAGTGTAGTTAATTTTTTAATTGTTATTTGCATGTTTTTAAATATTTATAGAGTTTGAAAGGAAGTGTTAAGTAGGTTTGAATCCATATGCTTGCTTCCAGTTGTGCTTTTTTATTTCCTTTATCTAAAAAGCATATTGCTCCCATTAAGAATGGAAAGTTTTTGTTTTCAAACCATCACATAGGAATCTTTTCTTCCACTCTTAAATGTTGGGGGAAAAAGTATGAATTATGAATGATGTAGTGCAAGCTTCAGATGTTAAAAGTTGTTTGGAAAATACTGTTCTGTCATATACATTTTCTTAAATGTTTATCTTAAGGTACTTCATATCTAATTAAATGTTATATTTGCCAGTTAAAATGATTCTGTGATATGGCTCCTGAATCAGTCTTTTGTAAATTTGTAGCATCAAGTAGTGGGACACGTCTTCACCGTGGGTATGTCGAAGAGGCCTCCCTTGAAGACAAGCCACCTCGGACTACACACATTGTGTTTGTCGTTCATGGGATTGGACAGAAGATGGACCAAGGACGCATCATAAAGAACACTGGCATGTAAGTCGATACTTACCTGCCCAAACAAACATGGATCTAAATTGAGGAAGAATCATACAAATATTTGAACCCACTGAGCCACTTCAGTGCCATTTTGACAGGAAAAGGTATATATTTTACATTGAATTATCCCATCTTTCTGCAGAGCCTTCATTTACTTTGTAATTGCTGAATGATCTTGTCTTTTCACTTTCTGTAGAGCCCTCATCAATTTGATAGAATAACAGTGTGTGTTATGGAAAGATCGCTTTGCTCTTAGCATTGGGAAGTTTTTTTGGGGCAGGATTTTGTGCGTTGTTATGAAAACCATTGAATTCCAAATTTGTTTGCTAATTGAAATGACATTGCTCATTTTCACCTTGTGTAGCAACAGACACTTACATATCACTTAGTTATTTAGTGCTAAGGTTCAATAAGCATTTACACACCTCATACATTATTGGGAGCAGACTAAGTTTCTTAGTCAGTGGAATTTGCATTTTTCTGTTTGTGAATAATAAGTGGTTGAATTTGTGTGGCTTTAAGGTGAGTGCACCTGGCATTGTCTTTCTGATCCTGCACACAAGCACAGAAATAAGGTTTTACCATGACTTGTATGGAGACATAATGGTGCTATGCTGCTAAATGTAGCAGATGAATGGGAGTGATCTATTTTATTATATACAAGGAACTTTAATATTTTTAGACATAATGATTATTGTAATGATTATTGTTTTCTGTTGATTAGACATTTTACATGTTCAGCAATATGTTGATGAATACTTAGTTATCGCCATCTTGCCAAAAGATGGAATAATTACATTAATTATAAACCTAGTTCTGTCAACGTCTGTATATTAATTACTAATATGTAGGAAACGTATAGAATTCTCTGTTTGGAATTAGGAGGAATACCAGAAGTAAATTAAAAAAAAGAATATTTTAGATATTGAGCATTTGAAATGACTTGATCTATGTAATTATTTTCTCTGTAGTTACCAGTGCCTAGCTGTTATACAAGATAAGATCACTTTATTGGCTGTATACAATGCCTTGTATTAGGAATTTGTCTTTTCGCATACCCCAGCTTGCTCTCCATGAGACACACAGACAGGGAGAGAAGCTCGGGGTCAGAGCACAGGGTCAGCCATTTATACGGCACCCCTGGAGCAGTTGGGGTGAAGGGCCTTGTTCGGGGGCTCAACAGAGTAGGATATTCTGCAACCCGCGGGATACAAACCAGCAACCTTCCAGCCACAGGCGCAGATCCTTAGCCACAGAGCCACCGCGCCGCCATTAATAATATTGTAACTAATTCAGGTTCCTGGGCTTGCGCTCTCTCTGCTCCTGTCCTGGTTCATCCTGCACCACATGGGCTCGAACCCGGGTCTCCTACGTTGCTCAACAGTGGTTTTGCTGGCTGAGCTCCAGAAGACCTTTAGTTGTGGGTGGCAGCAATTTACAAGTTTCATAGTGTGCAGTAGTCCTTAATTTGAATTGTTCCTGTTATTTGATACCTTTAGATTTTGATGTAAGTACAGTATGTGCAGGTCCTATCCTAACTTTCTTAGCTCTAAGTTTTAGTTTTAGGTTGGTGCTTACATTCAGCAAGACCCCTTTAACATATTTTAAATTGATAACTGCTACACAGTTTTATGTCTTCAACATTAAAGAAATGACATTTGAAGTCATGAAAGTGATGTGAGTAATGGATAGTATGAATGTACTACTGTCTTGACACTTGAAGAGTTGATAAAATTCCATTAACTGGTAAAACATTTATTAGATACTGTATATATAAAGAGTATAAGGTTGACTGTACACTGCAGATGTCTGTTATGAAGTGTTTGTTTGTTGCTGCCAATTTGTTGGTAGGATTTTCCATGGTTTGTGCTTTTTTCTATAGTATGGGAAGAGCAAGAGCCATGACTTTTCTTAGCGTTCTTCTTTCCTGCACACTGACATACGACAGCCGATCCCTGGTACCGCCAGAGGCTTAGTACGTTAAGAAGGGTAAAGCAGACTAAAGTAGACAGCTGTAAACTCAGCTTCTCAGAACAGATTAGGACCTCTACTCTACTGCTTCTCAGGAACATAAGTCTCCAAGCTTCCTCCCTTACTGTACTGATGGTAAAGTCTTTGGATTTTGGTCTTCAGGCAGTGTAATTTTAATATTTTGTTCTTAATATAAACCTGTTTCTTAAAAGGATTTTTCCACATAAATGGCACTTACACAAAAAATCATGGACATAACACTTTTGATCTTGGATAAATATGGTACATTTTTGTATTTCCTTTGAGGATCCTGAATATTATACAATTTTAGTTTGTTTTATTATATGGTTACTTTACTAGATTACTAGGAAATAGTGACTACCAGACACTTGTAGATTTTGTTTTTCACTGATGCTAAATACATTGGTAATAGTTCATTCCCCGTCACTGCTTGCAGACAACGTATAAGTATTCAGTAAATTCAGAAATTATAGTGCATATATATTTATGTCCATGAACAATCAAACCACATTAGTGATTTCTGCTATTGCCAGCCAGCAGCCATATCACCCTGCAACTCACAACTGGTAACCCACTGAAGCTAAGCAGGTGTGAGCCTGGTCAGTACCTGGATGGGAGACCTCCTGGGAAAAACCAAGGTTGCTGCTGGAAGAGGTGTTAGTGGGGCCAGCAGGGGGCGCTCACCCTGCGGTCCATGTAGATCCTAATGCCCCAGTATAGTGACAGGGACACTATACTGTAAACAGGCGCCGTCCTTTGGATGAGACGAGGTCCTGACTCTCTGTGGTCATTAAAAATCCCAGGGCGTTTCTCGAAAAGAGTAGGGGTGCAACCCCGGCGTCCTGGCCAAATTTCCCATTGTCCCTTACCAATCATGGCCTCCTAATAATCCCCATGTATGAATTGGCTACATTACTCTGCTCCCCAATGGTAGCTAATGTATGGTGAGCGTTCTGGCCCACTATGGCTGCCGTTGCATCATCCAGGTGGATGCTGCACATTGGTGGTGGTGGAGGGGTGTCCCCATTACCTGTAAAGCTCTTTGATTGGAGTGTCCAGAAAAGCGCTATATAAGTGTAAGAAATTATTATTATTGTTGCAATTTTATTAATCCTGCTTACTTTCAGTGACAAAAACAAAATTGTTCAGCAAATGTCAATGCACATTAATCAGAAATGTGATCACAACGACTAAAGGTACACTATGTGCAGCTATTATGATGTCTGGTTAATAACTCATGTATAAACTTTTGTTTAAAAAAATTTCCTTTATGGAACACCAATAAATACCAAAAAGGTACCTTTTGTGATTCAAAACACAGATCTCTCGGGATGAACTCTTAGCTTAAAACCAAATAACTAGAATGTCCATAGGTGATTGCTGTAGAACCATGTTTCTGTGTAGAGAAGAAAAAAAAACATGCAATGTGTCTTAAGAATTTTGTCAGATGTGTTACTATATCAAATAATATAAGATTTATATAGTATAGAATATAAGGTTTACTCTGAAGATGTTACTGCACAACACTGTACATGTATAAATGCATCTCTGGACTTGTGCTAGCTTTGTTTAGAGCAATATTCTTTACAAGAGGGGGCATAGGAATTAAATATATTAATCAGAACACTAAATGTTGTCTATTTTAAGGATGAGAGATGCAGCACGAAAAATGGAAGAAAAGCATTTTTATGATCATGCATCGGAACATGTGGAGTTTCTGCCTGTGGAATGGAGGTCAAAACTATCTCTGGATGGAGGTAGGACTGTTGTATTCAACAGACTTTTCACAACAAGAGCTCATTGTCAGCCAGTATCATGGTTGAGAAGTTAGGAGAGCTGAAACTGTGTTACCTAATGAGTTTACTTTTCTAGGACATGCACTGATGTATTGTGATGACCGCATAACAAGCATGATGATGGAAGTTACAATAATAATTAATGCCAAGTTATTTTTTGGAAAAGAAAGTTTAACTGGTGGAAAGATAATATAATTTGTACCAATTCTGAATCGTTAACAGCTCATGGCTATGATTTAGAAAATGCCAAATTGTTTTGCCTTTTTTCTGGTCATTATGTTTCCAGGCCCAAACTTTACTAGACTATAAATTCAAGAGAATTTATAGTTTATTGTATCGTTGTGCCCTTCTTAATAAATCTGGTAATCAAACCTGTATGCTGAGGTGCTGCGTAATGTTGTTGTTGTAGATACTGTGGATTCCATCACACCAGACAAAGTGCGTGGACTTAGAGACATGCTCAACAGCAGTGCCATGGACATTATGTACTACACCAGCCCTCTGTACAGAGATGAGGTCAGTGCTTCTAGTAATCAACAGGACTGCTTGATTAGATTTCTTTCTGGGAAAACCTACATTCATTTATTGCTAAGTCAGCTTCAAACAACTAGCAAAATGTGTTCCTATAATGACAAAACCTACTTGTTTAATAGTTAAAACGTTATGATAATATATTTATATATATATTAAAATGTATGCTATTATAATTTTATGGGACCTCCTGAGTGACTCAACGAAGCTGGGGGTAGGGTTGGCAAGGTCTTTTTCGGCTCTCGGCAACATCATGAACCCCGCAGTGATGTGGCATCTGAGGAATGCTCTGAACCTCCGATATAGGGCAGTGTTCCCTGTGACGTGCGAGTTGGCAGCAGGGGTGCTGGTTGAAGAAGACTTCCTCTTTTACTCCTGTACATAGTCATGGAATCTGTAGGTGCACGCCACAACCTGCAAACACACAATTGGCTATATCAAAGTGGGTGACTATATCACATAAAAACAATGTATGGAATTTTAGGATTAAAATGCTGAAAATGATTTCAATACATCAGTGTGAGCATTAACACAACATTTTGATGTCTTTTCAAGCTGTGACAGAAATGTGATTGTCCTCATATTTCCGTTTCGTCACAGGTTTGTATCGCATTAATCTTTCTTTTTAAACAATATTTCGCTTAAACTTGTAATCAGATTTCAGATTTAATGAGCGAGTAATAAATTGCCATTCTGATTATTTAAAGTATGAAAACTGATTGCCCCACAATAAGCAGAAGTCAGGATAAATGCATATTCATGAGGATTACACAGGACGGAAATGGAAGCAGTTTGTGTTGATGCAGCTTTGTTTTTTCAGCAGAGATGTCAGATCAGAATGTCTTTTTCTGATGCAGATCACTAAGGGCCTGACTCAGGAGTTGAATCGCCTGTATTCGCTCTTTTGCACCCGAAACCCAGACTTTGAAGAGAAGGGAGGTAAAGTGTCCATTGTTTCCCATTCACTGGGCTGTGTCATCACCTTCGATATTATGACTGGCTGGGACCCTGTGAGGATGTATCAGCAGGAGCATCAGGAGCTGGAGGAGGTGGACATGAGTTGGCTGAATTATGAGGAACGCCATCTTCTGGAACAGCTGCAGCTCACTAAGCGGAGGTACAGAAGACTTCCTGCCTAATGAATATACTTGGCTGTTGCTGCCTCAGTTATTCATCAGTGTTTTATTGTGTTGGCCTGACCTTTACAACACTACTGTCTCCTGTCCTTTAAGAAATAGATGTAATAAATCTCTGTAATCTTGAATTGAGGCACCTAAGAAATGGATGTACTCCTTTATTCACAATTTAGATATTTATTCAATGTGATTTACAATGGTGATTCTTGTCTTTCTTAATATGTATTGTAATAATTTAATGTTTTGTTAAATTCATTGGCAATCTGATGAATTTGTTTGCATATACAAGATGGAAATGGAATCCTAAAAGCCTGTTGCTTAGTATTTCTCCATCATTTGTCTTGTTTTCAAGAAGCTGCAATCCTAGGTTTAGTCTGAACCTGATAACTCACTCTCCACCCTCTCTCCTGTGTATTGTCTTGGCATTTTCATGCTCTAGGCTAAGAGATCTGGAGGAACAACTTCAGGGGTTGGAAACCTCTAAGGCACTGGCCTCACCAGCTTTAAAATTTAAGGTATGGAATTCCAATTTTCAGATTATTGCACATAAACACAATTTCAACATTTTAATATAAACCTTTCATCACATGCAAAGACCTACTTTATTTGAATATTTCTATGCATTATGAACAAGAAATGTTTAATAAAATGTTCTATCCTTCTTATCTGTTTTTATGTAAGAGCAGTGTTTCAAAGTTATCAGTGCTGGTTTATAGTTATTTTAAAATCATTAAAAAGGTTACTTTGTAAAAAAGTATCTTATTGTAACCTGTCAGATGAATCTGTTATGTGTACTACATTTATTTTACATCTATGGGGTCTTGACCATGTCAGTCCTACTGAAAAAGCTGAAATGCACCTCAAAATGTATAATAACAAATGTTAGGATCTAAGAAATACATTTCATATAATATGATATTAATAACTATATACCCACCAATGTGAATTAGAACGGGAAAGGTGGAAAATGAAAGTTTAAGGAAGAAAATTTATGAATACATAAATGTACTTAATATAAAAATTAAATGATATGATGAATGCATGAATACCACTGTTGTGGAGAATTGTGACCCTTTTGTTACGATATCAAAGTTATCTAAATCTTTTGATAGTTAAAGAACCATTTGGTAAGTGTACAGTATCTGTAGTTCCCTACCTAATTATTAATCATTCAGAACCTGTATAGTAAACAATAAAGAGTTGTATCTCTACCATTTCAATGTTGCCACTTGGCAATGTAAAAGTAAAAGATGCATATCGACTTCTTGAAGTAGGGAAATTATCATTTTGAAGGTGTATAGAGGCTGGTTGTTGATTAATGCTCTGCTTTGGCTACTGCAGGTTGAGAATTTCTTCTGTATGGGATCTCCAATGGCAGTGTTCTTGGCTTTGCGGGGTATCAGACCCGAAAACAATGGGTGTCAGGACCACATACTGCCCAAGTCTATCTGCCAGCGCCTCTTCAACATCTTCCATCCAACTGACCCTGTGGTAAGTCAGCCACATCTTGCCCTGCGTTTACAGATAGAAATAAAAAAAGCAGTGGAATTTCAGTCTTTGAGTACAGAGCGCCCAGAGGTGTATCCAAAGTGCCTTCCCCTGCTGATGGCCTGTCATGTTTTGGTTTCTAAAAAAGCTGTGTTGCTTTTGCCTTCATCTTAGCTATGTGCTTTGCTAACCATAGTGCAGTTGCTTTTATGTTTACAGAGCAAGGCATTAACATTTGTTTTGATTTTTTTTAACAAGATTGTCAAAAAATTGTTAAAAACCAGTTCCTTTTAAATGTAAAGTTGTGGTGTGAAATGTGTCCCTGCTGTTTATAGAATTTCTTTGAAAATGAAATATTCAGTGCATGCAAATATTCGTTTTGGTTACATAACATGCATAACTTCTGATATTATTGTTAAAATGTATAGATACAATAATTCATCCACTTTAGATTATTTAGTTATATGTGTAAGTGTAGATCTCTTTGTTCATGCAATCAAAATACAATCCTGGCCCTGGTTTTATCCTTTTTTTTCCTGTTCACAGGCTTACAGGCTGGAACCTCTTATTCTAAAGCACTACAGCAACATTGCACCCGTCCAAATACACTGGTGGGTATCTTTTTGTATTTCTTCGTGGTAAAGGTTTAATAGATATTCTTGTGACATTTATCATTAGTATTAAAATTAACATTTCTACCTTCTACTTCTATGTTTGTGTGTTGCCAGTAAAATTAAAAATGAGTATTGAATAGACTTAGTGGAGTTGCTTCTACATTGCAGGTGTAACACTACCAACCCTACTCCTTATGACCAGATAAGACCTACGTTCATCAACCCCATTAAAGAGACTACCTCAGCCTCAGACTCCGAGAGCATCCCCAGTCCCAGCACCTCTCCAGTCATGGCAAGACGTCACTATGGAGAATCTATCACCAACCTTGGGAAAGCCAGCATCCTAGGTGAGAGGAGCCTGTGCATCCTCATTAAGAAATGCCAAAGAGTCCAGTCCAGCATATTGCAATTTTTTTTTAGCAAAATAGTGTAAATGTCATTCTTTTCCCCATATGATTCCTAGTCATCAACAGCTATATTAACCTTATGTTTTATCAAAAAAGTATTTTCATACATAAACATCTTAGAAGTAAAGTAAAATGGTTACTGGATGTAACCCAGGCAATGTGTTTTTTTTTTTATTCTCCATTCCTCATAACCTGTGTATGGGTACTGCCATCTGGTGGTAATAGCAAACATATTCATGTTTGCTTTAAGTTTCCAGATTTGCTGTTTTTACTACCCTTTCTCTGCTTTGGCCACAGCACTCATAATCTGCTCAAAGATTGACCACACAACCAGTCAGTCTTTATGTTCAAAACAAGGAATGCAGGATTGGTATTTAGTGACTGATTTTTTTAAGTGTAAGGAAGTAGACATTTTCTCAGTCTACATTTAACATAAGATTTTATAGTGTCTTCTATAGAAATATATATAGATAAAAAAATGCTTAAATGGTAATACATTGTATATTGTGATTATTTTTTATCTACATCACAGTCTGATCTTCACTTACAGTACATGCTTCGTTCTAAGTTTAAGAATTAAGTTAATGTCTAAAAAAAGTCTAAATAGTACAAGCAGATAATTTTATATGCACCTTGAACAATGCAGAATCACAAGATTGTGGCAATCGCTATGTAGTGACAAAGGAAGGGAATATTTAAGGCTTAATTTACAAACAGTTCAATGTGTAAGGATTAGGGATGTTAATGCTGTGAAGACACACTGAGCCAGTAGCAAACCCTTTTCTGAAATATTCTCTGAGATTTTCTGTTTCTGTTTAGTGCTTTTTTATTTTGTGTGTAGTATGCAATTATTCATATTTTTATTAAAATGTAATGTGTAGAGAAGTGTGCAATAGAAACATACTGTATGTTTGCTCATTTTACTTATTCTTTTCAAAGAAATGCAGCTGGATTTTGGATTAGAAGTCTGTTCTTAAAACTGACAAGAGATTTGTCCTTGTCTTTTTCCTTGAGGGGGTGCCCATGGCATTTCTGCAAAAGAGGCCTGGACAGGGTTTGCATTGCTGCATGATGAGATAGCAAATGCATAAAAGTCTTTGTTTTCTTTTGCTCCTCCTGACTTGCTCTCATCATCCTCCTCTTGAGAACTTAATGATGTGTTGTTGTGAAACCAGGAGTGTGATGAATAAAGTTTTTCTTTTTGTCCTGTTTCGTTTTATCTTTTATTTCCATTTTTCCACTGATTGCATATTTAAATAACCTGTAAATGACGACCTCATCATTGTATTCAGAAAAGTTAAAATGTAGCGGAGTTTGTTAGCTTAAGAAAACAATACATTCTGTCCAGTTAGTCATAGCTGTTTTTTTAATAAGCTATAACCTAGGTATTTGTTTAAGCAAAGAATATGCAATTACCATTCATTGCTAAGTTTAATAAAGTATTGTTACTTTACATGCTACATACACAATTTAAACTGTATTTCAATTGCCTAAAATATTGTACAGGTATTTATTTTATCAATGCTTTCTAAAACTGTTGTAAAAGCACAAAACATTAACAGGATTGAATAAAAAAAAAGTATAATAACCACTTTATCAAAAGCACTTAAACATGGATAGTTAAAATATACAGTAGCTGAGATGCATAATATCAGAGTTAAATGAGAGATAATTATCTTGGAGGAGAAAGCAGCTTATGTACATGAAAGAGCTTTGTAGAGATTATTATTAAAAATGCTGTGTGGGGATGTTTTGTGCTACAACAACAATTTTAGAATAGCAAGCCATAAAGATGCTTTTTTTTGGCAGTTGGCATCAGTATGATATCAGAACAGAGACAGGATGGGGCCTGAGTTCTCTGACCACTGGACTTCTTGACTTTTGTAGACTCCTGTTGAGAAACACATGCACCTACCACACTCATGACCACATACATAAAAAGAGAAAGGCACCCCAGCTTTCGTAGATCAGTCTTGTACTTTGTTCCAGAGTTTTCTCTGAGATCTTGCAGTATTGGAGTCTTGAGTAAGCTTCTTGATATGATAGAAGTTTGATACAAAATGAGCTGAGAAAAGAACCTTCAAAGTGTTACCCTGTTGGTTGAACATTTACCACTAGCTGATAACGTGTTCTGCTAAATGGCAATCCTTCTTTACAGTATTCTGTGATTCCTGTATGTTATTGACTGTTTGATGGCCGTTGTTTTCACTGTTCTGAGCTGCACAGGAATGTTCTTGTCATTTAGATTTTTACTTTTTCCTGCTGTGTTTGAGTTATTCCATTTTTATTTTCTTTATGTTATTATTATTAATTTTCTTTATTTTTAGTGTTGCAAGATGCTTTGGGTAAACACATCTTGTAAGCCAATAAACTAACCATCATGTGATATTTCTCTTATGCCTTTATTTTTTTTTTATTTATGCCTTTATATGAGACAAGGTGTGTGCTACATCTTCATGTGAAGTGGCACCTAGGGTTAAAACAACTAAAGCTCCTTATTTTGAGTGTAATGGGAGTTGAAGAGAGCATTGTAGTATTGCCAAACATCTCAAGACGTTTTGATTGTTGTGTGCTTGATGCTTAAGGCTCTGTGCTATGTGTTTAATGAACAGGTGCTGCAAGCATTGGGAAGGGCATTGGAGGAATCCTGTTTTCTCGGTTTGCACGGTCTAGTAGCCAGGTATCCACAGCTGAGGGCACTGCTGCAGAGGGCGAGGACAAGAGGCCAGTGGACACTCAGTCATCCTATGGTCTTTCCAGCCTCTCTCAATCCAGCTCCACAGTAGTCGACACAACATGTCAGTATCTTGTGTTTCCATTAGCATGTAGTTCCTCGTGGATGAATAGAGGTTTATCAAACCTGTATGAAAAATATGAAAGGTTTTCGTATTTATTTACAGTTACTACATGTCAGAAATCACTGTGTGGTAAAAAAAAAGTAGTAAATAATATGTGATGTTTCCAGTTTCATTAGTGTAAGCATTATTAAAAGAAAGGTTGGAGAATGTTTTTGTTTTCTGCAAGGTCTGTGATTTTAAAGTTGTGGCTGGTTAAAGAGGTTTTGATTAGATTTTTAATTTGGTCCTCTTTTATTCAGTGTGAAGTGATGTAAAGAGTGTTTTATTAAATATAGATTCAGACCTCCTGGGTATATGGGCTCTTAAATACTATGTTCATTAGGTTAAGGGAATAAAAAAATGGAAGCACACATACAACCTCAAATTTGTCCAGTTGAAGTCTGACAGTGACATCGGTAACTTCAATAACAGTTTGTTCTGTTTGGGTTTCAGTGGAATTGGAGCACCGGATTGACTTTGAACTGCGTGAGGGTTTGGTGGAAAGCCGATACTGGTCCGCTGTGACATCGCATACAGCTTACTGGTCCTCCCTGGATGTTGCATTATTCCTGCTGACTTTCATGTACAAGCAAGAGCTGGCTGAAGGCACTGAGGAAAGTCCTGACCCTGTGTAACACACACATTTGTACACACACACACTGACCTCCATCCTTCCTTCTCCTTGTTCAAACAGCACTGACCCTGTGGAAGTCTCAGTCTTGAAGACGCATGAATCCACTGCACAAGAAGAACTGTCAATCCAGATCAGATGGAACTTTCACTGAGACTGGAAACTTTATAAAGCCACAAGTGTGGAGGAAATGTCACAGACCAACAACAGGACCGCACTGGTGGAATGACATTCTCACGTGGAAACTTGGGAGTTTTTCCACGCACAAGAATGACTTAAAGCCCTTCCCATTCAGGCTTGGGCCATCCACACTTTTAACAGGAGACCATTCTGCTGTAATTCCTCGGACCACTGAGCTAATACAATGCAGTTCCTTGCATTCCCATTTATCCACTTTGTAGCAGCAATCGCCTAGCTTTGTCAGAACTGGAATCTTCATTATTTTGCTTAATTCTCAAAGATATTTAACTTCATTGTTATGATTACGTATTAACAGCTACTTAACATAAACTGGAAGACTGTTTTTATTAAAATTTCCTGTGGGGGGAGGTTTAAAAATGGACAAAGTGGAGAAAAAAGCATTTATTTTAGTGCTATTTATTTTCTTACTTTTTTCTGCAACAAGATATTATCGTGCATAGGTTCCCTTCACTTTCATATTACTCATAGTTGAAATATACCAGGAGATGATAAGCTAAATCACTTTTTATTTGAACAAATATGGCAAATGTATTTTACGAAATCCTTTGAACATTTGATGTAGTGTATAAATTCATGTTGATTAATATTTGTAATATTCTTAGAAATCACCAGTGTCATTTTTCCCTTTGTAATGGCTTTCTCTAGATATCACATTTCTATATTGGCTATAATAAAAATGATCCAGCTTTATAATCTACTGGTATGTAAAAAAATGGTGCTGTAATTTTGTTTCTTCATTAGATCTATTTCTAAAGTGCAGTTTCAGAATTAAATCTGGCATGAATACCGACAAATAAAACTTCAGTTTTATCTAATAATCAAGTACATCTAAGTACTACTATATCAGTTCTTCTGCTATCATTCCCATTGACAGGGTGGAATGCATTATGTCTTAGACAATGAGAAAGTTGTGTGCTGTACCAAAACTACTGCTCCTGTACTTAATTTGTGATTTTGACTCCCACTTTTCACCTTTACAAGTTATTTCTGTGATGATCATTTATTTCCTCACTACTGGATTCTAATACATCCCTAGCTGGGATGTGTTGGAAACAAGGGCCAGTATTTGGCCAGTAGATGTAGTACAATTATTTGAAAACTGAGGAGGAAAGGAGGCAGTCAGACCATACATTTATAAGTATGAAGCTGTCATGAGCTGTGTTTGCATGCAGTGACCTTTACAAGAATTGCATGAGGTATTTGAATTTGTTGGCACAGGTCTCCCAGTTCAGGTCATTGAGGACTTTAGGACATTCAGTCTACCATGCTAATGACAGTCTGCTTTCAGTGATATGAAGTAAAGGGAATCTAATGCCTAATTAATTGTTGTGGCTGAATGTTTGAATTTGGTCTTTAAAGAGATGGTCTGTTTTACTTGCTTTAACTTTACGTAATCAAGGTAAAACGTAAAGTGAAAGGGCATTCAGACCACCCATATAGTGCCATTCCATGAATTAAAGTAATGTAGGGCAATGTTAGTGGTAATTTAAATACATGACTTTCCTTGTGTAATTGTGAATGATTTTACTTTAAAAATGTATTTAAAAAAAACACTTTCCTTTTAAAATAAGTCAAACATTAGCACAACCCTAGAGGAAACCCCAGAAGCAAGCTACTGAGTCATTTCATGAGTAAACTCTACAGCTAGACCCAGTAGAACTAGGCCCCAAAACTACTTCAGTTTTTGTGACATTTTCAGTCTAAAACAGAATAAAACCTTAAATTTGACAACCTTAGTAGGATAGTTATCCTCAAAATAATTTATCTGAATCCTTCCTAAAAATTAAAAGGATTATATGAGTCATTGTATGACGTTTATTTTGTCCAGAAACAGTATGCAGCTGTCTCGCAACCTCATCTTCCCTTTATAATTTATATTTTTTATTGTGATTTTTTAAAATTATATATAGATTATTTTGAATCAAACCAAATCATAGGAATGCAGGGCTAAAGTTTTTACAAAGAATTTCATGGCAAAATGGAATTGGTTTTTTGCCGTCATTTCATGCTCTACTTTTGAAGCAAATCATCTTGACTTTCATTGCATTGCACGTACTGGCTTGATAAAACTCATGTAAATTAAGTTGTCTTCAGCTTCCTTCCAGCTGATGTCTATAAAATACTTAGAACAAAACTGAAGATTTTGTAGATGTAATGTTTACATTTAAAACCAAATCACTGTAGGAGATTGTTTTATTTGATTTTTTCCACATATTGTGTGTTTGCTTGTTTGTTTTTTGGGGAGAAAATAATAATTCCAGTGGTTGGCGAAATCAATATGCATAGATTTGCTTTGATATTTTAGTTTGTTTCACCAGATATTTCAGATTTTCACCAGACTGATAATTTTGTTTAAGAAAAGAGCATGGAAATAAAGATAACCAAGGCAATTCTTCAGCCTTGGGGGGGGGGGATACACAAATTGAAGTTTTAACAAACCACAAGACTTGGAGCATATGATAGATTTAAAATTATAAAGCAAAAATTCAAAACGACACGTTGAATGCTGAAAACCTCTTTGTTTTCTGTAGAAAGTTTTGGAATACAAAAAAAGAAATTAATGTACCATAATCTCTTAGAACCTCATGTAGCATACTTTCTTGTGGTCTGTTTTCACTATTTTTATAAATACTACTGTTTTTGAAATACAACTAATTATTGAATTGTACTCATCTTATGTCCCACAAATTACTTGTTGTTACAGTCATTCCATTTACATTCAAGAACTTTTCAAATGAATCGTTCTTGGTCTGTTCATGACAAGCGAACAGTTTTATTTTTATTTACAGTAGAAAAATTATATTTTTTCAATCTTTCAATCTAAATCTCAATTGCCATTACCAAATTATTTCTTGTTAAGTATCATGGCTTCCCCAGATATTTTTAAAACATTAAAAAATGTTGATAAAAAGCTACTTGATTGATGTATGAAAAATATGGAGAGAAAACAATTGGTACCAATGTCATCTTGGCAAAACTACTTTGTCAGAAAATTAAAGGGGTTTACAGAGTTGCATACAGTACCTTTTGTTTGTGTTTATTTTTTGAAGGAAGCCCTTTTTTTAATAGCAGTAGCAGCAGGTGTTCCATCCACTGGGTGTCAGTATTTCTACTTTCAAACAAAGAGCTAACAGTTCGGGGACTTAAAACTGGGAAATTGATCCTCAAAACTATGTGCAAATGAAAATACTGTACATTGGCATCACTGTGCTTAAGTATCCTGAATTGTAATAGTGCTGCTGGCACCTACAATCTATAAATATAGGTATGTTTTCATAATGGACCTGTCTGTACTTTGCCAGACAGCAGGAAAGCTTCTCTCCAGTCTTTGAAGGTCAGAGGCCCTGTATGTCCTTACGTACTTTATAGTTGAAATTTGATTAATCGCTTGCTATGATTAATGCATCATTTCTGTAAGCAGTTGATGTGAATGTAACTGGCAGAATCCAAGCCTTCACAGACTGGAGTTTGCATCACTACTGTAAACCTCAAGCAGTGTCAATGTAGAATTTCTCTCAGTAAGGAGAGATTAATGAGGCTTGAGGGAGGGGAAGTGTTCAGCCAAGGATTTTAAGGAGTCAGTCTTCTTAGAAACTCATCATTTTGATTTTGATCTGCTCAATGTTCAGGATCTTTGCAAATTGAAAATGCTTGGCGCCACATTTACCAAAGTTAATTGAGTGTAGCACTGTTTCCTACTAGTTTCTTTGTGTTCAGATGCTTACATTTTTTAAATAAGTAAACCTGAAAGCCTAGGGTTTGATGTGCTGCTGAAATAAAAAAAAAGACATGGAAAATATTGGGGATCTACTGAATTATGAAACATCCATAGTTGATCCATAAAGTGAAAATGCAGTGAAACACAGAAAGCTACATTTTAATTTTGAAATCTGTGCTGTGAAATAGACCGTGATCTCAATATGTACCTTGAATAAGATTATTGAGTCAAGAATGTGTAAATTTGACTGGGCTCTCATATTTCTAAAACCTTCTCAAAGACTGTTATTTAACTTGACATTAAAACGCTACGCTGACAAACTATTGACTCTTTAAGACGTGCAATAACTGATGCCTGTAATGGATTAACTCTGCCATTCAAATAGCTGTATTTTTTTCTTTTATTAAAAACCTACATTTCCTTTTTGACATAACTTGTGTGATATAAATTGTTTGATTTGGTAAATTCCTCTTTTGAAGTGCTCTTTCTGATTTTACAGGAAAGGGGTTGACCTGTTTCTGTAATCAGGGTATGTACATGATGAAGTGTGAGGATGAGGTGTTTGCATTGTGGGGGGTTCTTTGAAGTAGAATAATCCCAACCAGTTGGGACACAAATTGTCTTTGAATCTAAGATTTTCTTTCCCTTGTGATACTGTATGCATCATGAACTGCTGGCAAAGAAATCCAAACTGACAAGTCAGAGGCTAAATCTTCAAAAGTAATATTAAAGGTTTCCTTTCAGATGCCACTTCCCTTGCTATATATTTTATTCCTGTGGAAACTTCGTTTTTTTCTAAAACTAGTAATCTCAAATTATTTTGAGTGAACAATACATACATATATGAATAAATGCATTTTGTTATTAAGAAAATAAGGGTACAATTTAGGTTGGTCCTCCTTGCTTCTTAGTTTTTGCTAAAATGTCTCCTTTGAGTGACTCTTAACTGTGTTTGGAGAGTAATTTAAAGGTTTTGTAAGCACAGTTGGTATAAAAATTAATTTCCGTCCCACAACAGTAGTTGAAAGTGATTTGTAACATGGTCAAACAGAAGCTTACATCAGACATCACTGGTGATTAGTTGTTTTTAACCTGAATGACAATATGACAAAGACATTCCCTTTAATTATGTTTCTTAGTTAGGGTCAGCACAATGCAGTATACTCATCTGGAGTTTCAAAAAAAGCAGGCATTTAAATGCTTTCTCCACAAATAGATAAGGAACATCCTTGCACTATTTGAAAGAGTAGAGGTATCATTTTGTCAAATATGAAGAAACCAAAGAATGCAAATATTATATTGTTAACAATAGCAAAAACATGATATAGAATCTTGTAACATGAAATTACTTCACCTATCTGTAAGGAACAAACTATGGTGTGATTTTCAGTTCTATTAAAACATTTTAAAAGTTAATAGCAACATAAACCACTCTTAATCATGATCTTGCTAGTATTTGGCGTTTCAAATAAAAAGATCTAAAAACGTACTTAATAGTGTACCTACTATTATATTGTTTTTAATGCCAAATACCAAACTTGTGATTTTCAAAAGCCAAGTTGTTTTTTTTCTTTTTAAAGAATTAAGATTTAATCATTTTAATATATATTAAGGTTATTTACATCCTGTTATGATTATAAGATTGATTTAAAATCTTTTGATTATTTTTTGTGACATTACTTTTTTTTTAAACTCACAGCTACCGCCCTCAGTTCTTTTAGCAAGACTATGGTACCTGACTATGATATAACCTTTTATTACTCCCTAACACAACTCTCTATTTGGTGTACTACACGGACTAGATTCCACATGGACCCATTAATGGTCAGCCAGGCACAACAATGAAACTCTAAATATCACATTGGTTGTTAAACATCTGGGTTTATTGAACACGACTATCATATGCTGAACATTGAAAGAAATCTATTACTAGGCATGCAATTTAAAAAATATATATAAATATGTAAATTGTATATATTCTGCTACTCAAGAAAACAATGCCTTCATTTTATAGTTATGTTGGAGCAACACCTCAAATGGACTCCCCAGCAGTGGAAACAAGTAATGAATCAAGGTAAACCACCACGTTTGGCAAGCATTGCACAGACATGCACAATGTTAGACTAATTGTTGTGTACAACAGAACATTCAATGGGGAGATGGATGTGTGATGGTCTGGACATACTGTAAGTGTCAAGTCATTACAGAACTCCACTTATAGCGATTTATGTCTTTGATTGTACAGTGCTACATTGATCAAGTCCTGAGCTCTCACTTGATTCCAGCAGGAAAACACGCAACAAGTTTCTTTGTAAGATAAGAATGTGACATTTCTGACTGTTGAATCCCATTTGTCATACACAAGCCTCATTGAATGTTCATGGTAAAAACTGGCAAACAAAACTCAAAGACCAGAGAACAGGCCCATGCTTGTCCAGACTCTACAACATGAATGGGATAGCATCTGAAACCTTGTGATAAGCATGTGTTCCAGTTGTATTGCTACTGTTTTGGATACAAGACTGTGGGCCACACAACCTACTAGCCTGTGACTAGCACAACAGACTCCCTGTTGTTGAGAAATACTAAGCATAATCTTAATGTTAAATTACATGTGTTTGTTCAAATAAAATGTCAGTGCGGCTGTTACAAAAAAAAGATTTTCATTTTCCTCATATGAAACCTTTGTAAAATTGCTGCAGTTGTAAGTGATACCTTTCTTTTGATACTCTTGTTTACTTAAGAAGACGTAACGATGATCAGCCACTTAGGGTTGGGATATTTGAATATTTCTGTATGTTGGACATATTAATGACAGTTAAAATTCTCATACTGCTGGTAGCCAATGCTATGATGATGGGTACGTCTCAATGCAGTTGAGAAACAATAGGATGATGGGACAGGAAAATGTGTTTATTGGGAAGATCCCAATAAATCGCAATCCTCCTTGATGGACTTCTGCATTTATTATGCAGATCATTTATGATAGAAGCTTTTAAACTGCACATGCAGGGGTTGAGACACTTGGGATGCCCATAAGTTTGATTTTTTTTACAGGTTTGGATAAAGAGCAGTTCTTTTCAAAATGGAATATTACAATTTTCCAAATCTAGAAGTGGAAATATTCTAAATGTGCATGATTGTTCAGAATGATCTTAAAAGGTTTTCTTGTTTTCTAAAGTTTTTTTGTAGATTTTTTTCCCTTTTACTAATGGGAAGTGTGTTTGTTCTGACTTAGTGCTTAACCACGTTTTGTGACTGCCCCTGTTCTGTTCTATACTCTTGATTTCACTTTCATACACTTCTTCTGACAAAATGTTTACACCCTAATTAAAAAGGAGTCTATAAAAGGCAATAGAGGTGCTGCCAGAGGCAGTTCCAGGCTGGGCGAGTAGAGAGCAGAGTTATAAATTGATCTGATGCATCCCAAATGTTCGGTTAACATCTCTACACTGAATGTTCACTCTCTCTCTGGAGTGACCAAGAATTAATGTGAAATACGGATGGACACTTTACATTTGTAAATACCGATCTAGAAATTCCCCTTCCTAGCGAAATGCACAATTAAAACTAAATCCTGACATTTCAGAGACTGGAACAAAGTTTCTGGCTAATTTATGAATTGTAACACATATAGATTACTAAGGTACTTATATTTTACCTCTTCTACACTCGGGGAAAAAAATCTATAAAGCTTCAGATGCAAGTATTCGTCTCCTGTATCATAAATCGCATCTTAACCATTGGTGGCTAGAATGAACGAGAACTCAAAAACTTCATTAAAGACAAGTATGGCTTAACAAGGAACATTTGTTATATGGGTTGCCAAATGTGCTTTTGAAATGGTCTGCCCTAATTTTCTATAATTTTTTTTATGTCAGGTTTACTGTAAATTTTGTGTTGTGGGAAAATAAGTGTTTTCCCATCAGGCTTTTTCTTTTAGTATGATTGTGACTTTTTCCACATTTCTAGCATTCCTTTTCTTTCACATTTCTTTTCTTTTTCACATTTCACATACAGTGGATATTTGCTGGGTAGACTTCAGTGGTCTGTATGAACAAGATAGTCTGATAATATTTTCAGAAATGAACACCCCACTTTAAAGAACATACTGTAAATGCCTTTTTAAATGTTTAATTTGAATTTCATTTTGTTTCTCAAACTGTGCAGGCAAAGGCTGGCCGTGGTGAGGCGAGGGATTATTTTTGAAGGAGTGTTTTTATTCACTCAGCCAGATAAAGTCAAGCATAGGACAAGATGGAATTCCAAAAGTAAAGCTTCTGGGTATAAAAATATTGTGTGTTTGGGTGCAAAAAAAAACATTTTTTACTGAGAGCACATTATAAGTAAGAATACAGTGGCACATAATAGGTTAATGGAATATAAAATTTACAAATCTCATAAAATGTTATGCTTCTTAATTCACACTAGCAGGTTTAAAATAATGGTCTGAGATGGACTGGCATCCTGCCCATTGTGTACCCTGCCTTGCGCCAGTTGTTTGCTGGGATAGAAACTGGCTTCCGAAAGACCTTGAATTGGATGAAATAGTTAATGAAATCGTTGGAAAATGGATGGATGGAAAATTAACTTCATGCATCAGAATATAATATAGGAATAAAAAAAGTAAAAGTGGGTAATACAAATGTTTTAAGTGTTAAAGCAACAGATCAAAAATAACTATAGTCTGATGACTCATACCAATAATGTTTATGGTAAATGTTTCCATATGACTAAATGTTTGGCTCCATGCTCACATTCTTACCCTAAGGAAAGGAAATGTAGAATATTAGAAAATTGTTCAGTTGAAAAATACTTTTTTTCTGGAAGGAAAATACGAATAAATCTTGTAGTGCCTACAAGCACACAAACAGTTGTGGGCTTATTGCTAAGAGTTAGGGGGTGGCCTTTAACTGAACTGACCTATAACCCTCTGGTGGTGAAATAAAAACGATCCTTTCCTGGAAATTCCTGAAACCCCCAGAAGGAGTGAGGAGTGGTAAAGGGAGAATAGGCTCGGTGTGAGATAAAAGAATTCTGTATTTGTTTTCTCTTTAAATAAACAGAGATACAATGGACCATTTGTTTTGTGGATTTAGTTCTGGAGATAACGGTTTTCTTAAAACACCGAAGCTTACAAACTGATTGAGTATATATACTGCCTACTCTCCTTTAAACCCTGAAATTTTGTCCAGCGATGGAATTTATTTTAGAACAAGGCTGAAGGTGTGCTAGGTTTTGTAATAGTATGAAACAAAAAGCAACACATTCAGATCCATGAAAAAGAAAAGGAGGACTAAAGGCTCGCTGATATGGGCAGGAAAAGCGAAGCTTTTTCTGTCAACTCATACATACAGCCAGCAACTACTGCTGGACAAATATATATATATAAATATATAAATAAAAGCACAGTATTTATTCTCCGGATATTAAAATATATCAGCATTAATTAGGATATTTTGTGAACAGCGCATTTCACAATTCAGCAGCACAAAGAAATGCATCGCATATATTGCAAAGCATGACAGGAGAAATCTTTGCCTGAAACAATCGGTGCCTCTCGGAGGGGTATTTAATTGGGGATAATAATTTATCCTGGGACGGGGATTGAGCCCCGGATGTTTGACCGCACTCTCGGCTCTATTGCCTTAAAAGGCAGCAGTGCCCGTCCTCCCTGGCTTTGCAGTTCCCCGGCAATCTGCGTTGAGGGGAACACTGTTTACGCTGCAAGCGACAGCGTGTACCACGGCTGAAGCAAAACTTCCAACAAGCCTAGCTTATGGGAGCGGGGGGGGGGAGTCAAATAATTATTAGGAAAAATAATAAACGCAACTGGACACGCGGCCGCCAGTAATGAAGGAATCAAAAAAAAGATAGGACTAACGCGAAACAGCGAGAGTCGGCCAGCTGGGAGAGTGTGAAAGGAAAAGTGGGGTTGGAGGAGTGAGTGACGTTATCTGCTGGGAGAGGGAGCGAGCGAGAGAGAGAGAGGGAGGGAGAAAAGGAGAGACCAGGACTCCATTAGCAGAGCCCAGAGCAGGCAGTTTGGGATACTTCGCTTGGACGAGTTCTTTGTGTTTTTCTACTGAGCAAACGCACGTGAGACAAAGAAAGAGACTTCAGGAAAGAAATAATAAATTTAAGTTGGTACTGCGGCGTCGGGTTGGTTGGATTTGTGAAGGTGAGTGGATCTAGCAACTGGTTTTCATTTTCGTTCATGAGTGGCAGGAAAGGGAAAAAAAGCTCTAGCACTCTGAACTAGGCAATCCGCTTTGCGGTTTGCTACGTGTTAAGAAATCTTCCTCTCCATGATTTTTACTCTGTGGCATTTTTAAATTTTCTCTTGTTTTTGTTTATGAGTGTGTGTGTGTGTTTGAGCTTAGTTTAATTGTCATTTTTTGTGAGGAGAACACGGTACATGTCCGAAATGAACATGGGTAAGTTCATGAAAAGCACACATTCTGAACTTACCTATTACGTAAACTGCTCCAATGCTATAATCTAGTCGCCCTCTCCCGTTAGGTGGAGCAGGTGAATTTACATTGACATCGCCAAAGGGCAGGAAAGCACTGCTTATGTCTGTAACTTTTTCATCTTCTTTGTTCTTGGTTTTATTGGTTATAATGACGCACTTATCTCAAAACGGACCGCACTGAAGTTGAGCATTTCAGCTACACATTACCTTTTTTTACGCGGCTGCAGGCGAAGCTGTTGAGTGCGGTTAAATAATAAAGCAGGCATTGCCGTAACAACGTTTTTAATTTACCCTCGTTGAGTGACGCACTCCGAGAATCTGAATGCACGACCTTTTAAGATGATGAGAGAGTCCCCTGAACTTCGTTGTTTGCAATGGTGGAGCCTAATTTTCGGGGTGGGGAGTCCCTATGCTGTTCTTTGTCACTGCGCCTTTCTGGCTTTCTTAAATTAATTAACTCTGTACCGAAGCATAGCTTAAGCAAATTTCTGTTTATCTGCTGTTGGTATTTACACGGAGATACGGAATGCTCTGGATAATGCATAGAAGATATCCACGCAGGGTTGCGTTTTTGAGTTTCCTGTGCTGTTTTTTTTTTTAACCCGTTCTTCTCCGCTTCCCTTTTAAAGTTATCTTGGAAGGATGGCGCTGGATGGCATACGAATGCCGGATGGCTGCTACGCGGACGGGACCTGGGAGCTGAAGATGCATGTGACCGATCTTCATCGGGATGTCTCCCTGAGGGTCACCGGGGAGATCCACATCGGCGGGGTCATGCTGAAACTCGTGGAGAAACTCGGTAGGATGCTGTCGGTAACGGCTTTCCAACACTGACGTGTCGATGTGTCCGGGAGGGTGGTTGGGTGACGCACATCCACACATGTAGTTTTGCCTGCTGTATGCTCAAACTCTTCCCCAAGGTGTGGGCGCGGTATAAATGCTGTTGTCAATCTGTCCTTCGTGCCCTGGGTCAACTTCTTTGGCTTTCCCGTTGGATTTTGCTCTTAAATGTCACAGGGCAAGTAAATGCGTTATTGCATTTTGAGTCTTGACTTTTGTGTGGTCCTAACAAACAATAATTTGTTAGTGATGTTAGTAATTTGTGTTCCTCTATTGTATTATTTTGGGGGACCTAGTGCTTTACCTTTTTCATTGAAAACTAAAGATTATAGTAGTCTACCATTATGGTGTTCTGATAGTGGGTAATACATTATAAACGATATGCTTAGTTCTTTTCATTTTAATGCTCTTTTTCTTACTGAGGAGGGTGTGCTTTTAAACCCGGATGTTGCTATTACAGCACCTACATTGTATAATGTGTTTTATAGTCATTGCTTATGGCTATGACTACATTTTTTGAAACGTAAATAAACTTTCATTTTTGACTTTGATACTTGAGCAGTAAGAATTTGTTTTCCATCCTTTCTGTTCTGGCTATGCCTTTAAGACTTAAGATGTCTGGGAATGAGTGTGTTAGTCCATCAATTTTCCAAATAAGTGTTTAATTACTTGCCTTTAGCATTGGTTCCTAAAATAAAAAGTTCATTAGCTAATGCATTTGTAAGCTTGTGCACTTGAGCCATAATATGGAATACTGCAGTTCCAAGACTGACCAGACTTTCTGGGATGGGACAGTGTTGCAGGCCTGGTCAGTTTGTGCCTGTACTGTAGTGCCACAGTGTTCTTCTGCTTATACCGGCCACCAGCCTTTTGCTGTAACACTAAGACCAAACAAAGGTGTCTGTAACCAGTGTTATAATTAGGAAGCCTGAATATAGTGTTTAAGAGTCACACCATATGTTTTGTGATTTTGTTTGTGCGTCACGGATGCTGTAAACCTAGGTTCTCCAGCTCTAGTGAATGGCTTTGTATGCTTGGTTTTAGTGTAAGTTCCCGATGAAAATATGCACAGAAGTTACATTTCTGATGGGTATTGTGTTCTTTTTGCATTCCCTAAAGATTTGGAAGCTCTTGAGTAAAAATAAATTTGCTTGCCCCAAATAGTTTTTCCTGTCCTGTTGTTTTCAATATTCGGCATAGTAGCCTCAGGAACCTCGGGTCCGTTATAGAGTAATCCTTATTAAAGTGTATATTGCCTTCGGCATTACTAGGTCACCCTGGTTTAGTGGTCATGTCAGACTTATTTGGGGGGAATTCTTTACTTACTTTACTTAATAATTGCTTACACTTATATAGCACTTTTCTGGACACTCCACTTAAAGCGCTTACAGGTAGTGGGGATCCCCTCCACCAGCACCAATGTGCAGCATCCACATTTAGGGGCAGTTCTGCAAATTATGCCATTCTGTTAGTGGCCCTTAAATTGGGAAGCTGTTTTTCTAGAATACAGCACTATGACTTTTTTTTTTAGTTCATCCTAGTCACAATTGCCTCATTGTTTTTTCCTTAAAGGACTTGCAACTTAGAATGGAGTAGGCCTAAATACAGTAAATATATTGTAATTGTCATCTGCTGAAGAAACTAGCACTGTTGTTCTCTGCCTCTTGCAAAGGCTAAATTGTACTGTCTGTGTTCTTCTTGCAGTATGACAGTCATAGGGTTTCCTGCTGGACTCTGGAAAAGGTTAATACCAGGGACTGAATTTCACTATTTCACCACAAACGCATAATTAAGGTCTGCACTAATGCCTTTTGCTTTTGTTCAGTAAAAACTTGAACTGAACTCTGTGTAAAGGTAAGAAATGTCCTCTCTTCTGGCTGATGCATTCAAATGAATTAAAATATTTCAAATTATTTTGTTGCGCAAAGTTTTCATGGTTCGCATTTAGTCTTTCTGCCCTTAGACCTCATATAATCGAGGCCCTTATGTTTTGTAGTTGCTTGGGATTGAAGGGGCTGTGTGTGGGAGGAGAAGACTTTCTTCATTCTAGTGAAATGCCTTTTATTCCTGTCTGAGATCCTTGGCTGCACAGAGCTGTATCTGTAGACCAGAAGGCAGGGGGAGGGGCCATTGGAAACAGAAGTTAGCTGTTTTCTGTCAGAACTGAGTTCCAGAGAAAGTGTGGTGTATTAATGCATACCATCTTGAGGCTGGGAGTATGAGCAGATGGGGCTGTGCAATAGGGTCAAAGCAGTGTGTAGATAAGGGCTCTTGAATCTCTTCAGTTGCACAGTAGACACTCATCTTGTAGAGCAAGGGAGAGGATGTAGCCTACAGGATGGGGATACTAGGTTAAGGCATGACTAAGGGTTGTGATTTCATATGTTCAGCCTCTTTATGCAAGTTTAAAAAGTGCTTTCTGCTGGCATTGTACTAGGGCCACTGCTTCCAATTATATCAGCTGAGGTCTGCTATGTAAAACACTCAACCATTACACCCCACCCTTTTCCAAAACCAGTGGACTTAATGGGTTCTGTCATAAACCACCAGTTCTTGTTATTTCAAATGTCGTATTTTCCACGCATGCTCGTTTGTCAAGCAATTACCTTGGGGGAGAAAAACTAAAACTAAAGCAACTTTGAGCTGGGTACCTCAGAGTGGTCAGTTTGCTAAGGTGAGTGCATGTCTGAAGACAGTTCAGTTCACTGGTATTGGGGAAAATTGTCTGAAACCCCAGCAGGGATATGGGTGGAGCATCTGCTGTGTTTGGTTCTCCCAGTGATTCTGCCTTGTAGGGGAGAAGGAGTGTGCCCATGGATGGTGTGAATCTGCTGTTTAGAGAATGGACGGGCATTGAGGGATACAAAAAAAATTAGTATAGGCCAGGATCTCCATCAATAGCTGATCTGATTCACCTTCTGGTTTCCATCTTATAACTGGACATGATTTACTGAAATTGTCTGATTCATTACTCTGCAAGACAATCTGATCTATTTAAGTAATGCATTTCTTCTATTAATCAATTATAAATGTATCTTTTGAATTGATATTGCTTTGATCTATAAGGCTTTTACATTTTAGATGTTTAGTGCATCACATGACACTCCTGCAGTCTTTTACTAGTGATTCACTAGTAAAAACATCCAAGTTTTTTTTCTTGGATGAAAACCTGAAATGTATGAAGTATTAAATAATGCATGGTTTTTAAGAGAAGATTCCATAAATAGCCAAACATTGCTGACCACATGTAAATTTGCAGGAGGTCTTGCCAGATAACGAACACTGCAAATCATTAACTTAGCGTACATATTCTCAGGCATTAAACTGCTGCAGTGTAACCTGTGGAGCTTACATTACATTGGTAACTGGTTTGTGCTGGGGCCAAATGGTTTATTTTGCAGGCTGAAAAACCTGCAGTGTTAGTGGTGTTGCAATGAAGTCTTGCTGCTGGCTTGGTAGTCTCAAAGACTTCCACAAGCATTGGTCTTCTGAGAACTTAGTTTCCAGGATGTGCGTGTAAAGATGCATACT